AACTACAGACAGCAAGGCAACTCTCTACCAACGAATGGAAATGCTTTTGCCTAGAAAAGTAGCGCCATTTCAGAATACCCTGCACTAAGGATTTTCCTGTTGGGGTTTGACCTACATGTTCATCCACTCAAGAAAAATCAAGAAGGAAATGGGACAATTCGAGAAGCAGTGAAGCTTATTTGTCCATGAAAAGCGACTGAAGCGTATGGCTATCGATTTGGGCTTCAAATTTAAAGGGCACGTGACTACGGTAGTACCTGCCACCCACCACCACCACTGACCAATCTGTCACTGATAATCATCTCCCATTCAGGCTATGCACCATTAATAATCAAAGATCCACTTCCCAGAATAATTCACGAAATTTTACTCGGACTCCCTTTTCTTCAAAGAACCAGGTTCCGGGTGTTGTTTAATGAGATTACGGTGGAAGGATTAGTATCGTTTAAAGATGGAGGGTGGAACTGGAAGGGGCAGTAGTTTCATGTCAAAAACAGGAAACACTCAAAGGCACGGTTCAGGTAAGCATTTATAGTGTTCCTTGTGCACAACAAGAATTGCGAAATATATATTGCGAAATCGCGCTAATGAAAAAAATGAAACACCCTCCCCCCTCCCCCGAGTGAACTTGTGCCTATTTAATACTTACTAGTCAGCCGCAATATCGTAAGAAATCGATTATCGATTGCTGCCGAAGGCGGCCGTGAGCGGTCGTTACGGTAATTTGTCCGTGGTGACGTCACGTCCGTCTTGCACGCGACAACATTTTCGAACGGGAATCGTTTCTAATTAGATAATTCACATTTCTAACCTCTAATTTCATTCAAACTCTACTGAAAAATGAAAAATTTAATTATTTATTGTCATTTGGTAAAAATTATGTAACTCCATCAGGAGGATGCAACTTTTGGTTTGCGAGGTGCTACGTATCTGGCAGCTATGCTGCCTTCATCAGAGGATAAATCAGAACTAAAAACGATAGGAACTGGCGAGAATGACGCAATAGGTCGAGGTGAAGGGCCACAGAATAACAAAGCCGTTGCTCGGGTCAGGGCGTGACCCGTTGGCAGCCTGCCAACCACCACCCGCAGTAATTCCCCGCGATCCGCCCGTATTCCTTGTATGGCTATGGAGCGAACGATTCGGGGGTTATTAGCGTCACGTTCTATACGAAGTTATACGAGATATTTTGGATCATTAGCTTAGGATGAGTGAACAGAGCCGGAGGTAGAGGCTCGGTTTCAGAGCCTGAAATCTTCTAGCTTTGGTCTGTTGTCCCTTTATGGATCGGGCTATCCTCTCCATAGAGGATAAAGACCGAGGCTTCCTCTTTTGATCGATGCAAGGACGAGCAATGCGTCCTACTTCCACTCGCTGTGGCACTTTGAACGCTATTTTGCCCATAAGGAGCCTACAGGAGTCAACCTATGCACAATTAGGAGAAAAAGAGAATCAATAAATGAAAAAAAGACTTCAAAACACAGGTGGTCCGTTTTGCCCATTCCTCAGACGAACCATCGCTCCCTCGTCAGTCCCGGGGCTTTCAGTGAAGCAGGGTTGTCGAAATACGGGCAACCTAGGGAAGGGAAATCACGAAATCACATCACGACAAGAAAATCCGTGTTTTTTACCTCCGAGCCTAAACCGGTACCAATAAAAGGGTTGCGTGACGGCCTGAACATGTGCTTGTGCTCGGTGCTATTGCGAAACTAAGTAACGCAGACATACACATAGAGTACAGCGGGCTATAGAAAAGTGCAAGTAACGTGTGACGAGCTAGGATTATGGGCTTTTTCATGGGAGTGAGGATTATAGGGTGTGTGAGAAAATTATCGTGTGTGAGAAGCTGTAATGTTTGATTTCACAATGACCATAGAATGTCATGCGGATGGTGCAGAGAAAATCTGGAAATTGACACTTTCAAAGGGATTAAATTTAAGCTGTCTGCAGCCCGTTCAAATATGCGGGGGACGGCCGGTGATTCGAACCCTGGGCCGACTCGAACCCTGGAGAA